TGACTTACCCAGGATCACATAGTCAGTGTCTGAGGTTGGATTTGAACTCAGATCTTCCTGACTCTAGGCCCAGCTCTCTGTCCACAGAGCCACTTAGCTGCCTTACTACCATCATCTTGACTTCTATCTCCTGTCAGTCCTGGATGGCAACAGTTCAGGACTCTGAGCCTGAGAACTTTGGGAACAGCTTCATCCCAGCTTCTGTTTGATTACCAGCCCAGCCCTCCTCAGCTTCAACCCAGGGAATTGACCCTTGTGGGGATGCTACCTGGCACCTGCCTCTGTAGGTTCACAAATACTACCTCTTCAAAGCAGCCATAAATATAGAAAATCTGGAAAAGCAAGTTGTCATTGCCATTGAATTCCTTGGTACTGTCAAATGTTTTAGCATCAGAAAATTGATATGCTTTTATCAGTGGAAATAATGTTGAAGAAGATACATTATTACTTACTATCTGCTTTTCAGCCACATTATAAACCCTTTCCATTTACTTATAGCTGGAACCTCCTATTTATGTTGTCTCCCCCATTAGAAGGTGAACTTTTTTCAGTCTTTATTTAGTATTTTATTTTTCCCTGGTTACTTGTAAAAACAGTTTTTAACATTTGTTTAAGGTAAACTTCTTAAGAGCAGGATTTACTTGGCTTTTCTTTTTATATTCGCAGTGCTTAGCACAGAGCTTTTCATGTAGTAAGCATTTAATAAATATTCATTCATTCATTCATATATTGGTTTTCCTTGTTATATTTCCCAGTTTGCATCCCTAATGTTTTTCACCCAATTGGTACTTCATAGATATTTGTTGAATTAAGTTGAATTATTTTGTTAAATATACTTTGCTTTTATTTTCATTTAATGTTATTTTGTGAACTCTGTTGGATTGAGATTGTAATTTACTATGAAAGTAATTAATTATGAGAAGAAAATAAGTGTGACAGTCACAGGCTTCTATTGGAATAAAAAGGAAGCATAAATAGTGTGAGAATGGGGAATGGTTACTGGATATGGAGTCAGATGACCTGGATTAGAACCTGACAGTTATTCACTACTTATGTGACTGTGTCCAGTTCACTGAACCTCTTTAGGCCTCAGTTTTCTCATCTTTCAGATGAAGAGGTTGGATTTGTAGAATCTTGCTTTAAAACTTGAAATCCTACAAAGTTTTTTACATACTTCAGTATTTTGTGATCTCATTGATGTTTTTCTGTTGGAAAATGAATTTCACTCTTGATAACTCACTTAAAAAGTTTTAAGCATAAAACAAAGGTGGTGAGCTGCTCACTGATTAGACAAGTGTCTAGTGATAAATTAGAGACTTTTAGCTTTGTCATGTTGTTGCAGGCATTCAACATACACTCCAAATTTTTGCAATGACTGTCATTCATTTTAAACACAGCTTCAGCAGAATCCTTGCAGTAAGTTATTGAAAATGATTTTTGTGTCTATTACCTAAATGTTATAGCATTTATTATCACATGTTGGGCTCAGGAGACGATGTGCTACAGTCACACCAGAAGCCCTGGGTTTGGAATTGCCACCTATTAGCTGTTTGGTCTAATTAAGTTCACATTTCTCAGCATGTTTGCTCCTTTGAAAATGGAGATAAACAGTGTTTTTTTTTTTAATTTTTTTTATTTTCTTTTTTTTAGTACCTACTTCGTGGCATTGGTTTGAGTTACCCATGGGGCAATATTTGTTAATGTGTTTTGTAAAATCTGAATACATGTAAGTTGTTGTTATCATTATTATAAGCATCATCCTGGAAGTATAAAAAGTTTGAAAAATGATGGATTTCAGTAGTTCATTTTCGGTTGTTAGCTTGTGAAGCTAACATTATATACATTTTGATACTTAGATGTACCAAATTTAAATGTACTAAAGCCACTTAATAGCAAGGATTCTTTTTTATTTGGCTTTTTATTTTTGAGGGGCAAACTTAGGTGGAGAGGAACAACAAAATATTAGATATAAAATTAGGGTAGTGGGACAAGCATTTTTTAACTAGCACAATTCATTTGTTTTCATTAGTTTCAGGCATGTAGTGACGTGCATCCTGTAGAGCTAACTCTCTAGAGCAAGTCCACAAAACTTCTCTAAGTGGGCCTGAACCAGATTAAAATGTAATTGGGAAATATTTAACAAAATAAATAGAAATCCAGTACAACTTAGATAATGTTAATTTGTGGTTTTCCAAGTCTCACATGTAGGGCATGGCAGTCCATTTCTGTTTGAGTTTGACACTACTGATTGAGAGTATTGTTTCCACTTAAGAAGTTGGATTTAAGATTGATATGAAAGCAGGTTTACCTTATACTTTTTTTTTTGCCTAATATAACTAATTTTTAGATTGCTATTGTAGTCAACTGAGATTTTTTTCCATGTGCATGTGCTACTGCTAGATATTGATTAAAAAATTAGTACAACATTTTTCTTGTTGGTTTATAATGTGAAATGAATCTCAAAGTGCTGTCAGTACTGATTAAGCTTCACATTCTATTATATTGTTATTTTCATATATTGGTGAAATAAATGCAATTAACTGTGCATTGGTCAGGCAAAGATTTTGGAAACATTTTGGTTTTGATCTTATAATTATATTTCTCTCACATTTGAAGATTTCTGAAGATTGTGCCCACTGTTTAATTGTCAGAATCTGTGGTGTGATTCTGGGAAGGCTTGTTCACAGTGTAGTGTCAAATAGTACCACAGGCAAAATTTTATAGAGATAAAAAAGAATTCAGACGTTATGTTGTAGTGATAAAGTTTTTTAAAAAATAAGTATTCATTTTTGTTTTTATTTTACCTACATTTGCCACTGTTTTCCTCCCCAGAAAGTCATCCTTTATAATAAAGAATTAAAAAGAAGGAAAAAAGTTAAGCAAAACTGATCAACATTATGAAGTCTGATGCTTTATTTGATGTTTACACTTGTGGTCCTTAGCTCTGGGAAGGTGTTGGGGTTGGGGAATTATCATCTCTTGAGGCCAAGTTTCCTTGTTATAATTTCACTGCATTCAATTTTGATTGTTTTGTTGTTGTTTTTCTTTCCGTTTAAATTGTTTCAGTCATTGTGTATGTTGTGTATTAGAGGCAGCTGGGTGTCATAATGAATTGAGTCCTGCACCTGGAGTCAGTCAGTTATTAAACATTTCTTAAATGCCCACTATGTGCCAGGCACTATGCCAAGTGCTGGGATACAAAGAAAGGCAAAAGACAGTCCCTGTCTTTGAGGAGCTCACAATCTAATATGGGAGACAACATGCAAACAATTATGTACAGACAAGCTATATACAGGATAAATAGGAAATAATCAATGAGAGGAAGGGACTAGAATTCAGAGGGTTTGGGAAAGACTTCCTGTACAAGGTGGGATTTTAGTTGGAATTTGAAGGAAGTCAAGAAGACCTGAGTTCAAATTTGGCCTTCTTGCGTGACCCTGGGCAAATCATTTATCTCCTGCCTCAGTTTCCTCATCTGCAGAATGAGAATAATAATAGCACTTACCACCCAGGGTGATTGTGAAGATCAAATGAAATAATATTTATAAAGCCCTTTGGAAACTTTGGAAACACTGTATTAATTCTAACTAATATTGTTGCTTTCTTGGTTCTGTGTGTTTTTCTCTGCATTTCTTCATATGTCTTATCTTGTTTCTCTGAATTAATCATGCATTATTTCTTACAGTACAGTAATATTTCGTTTCATTCATGTACCACAGTTTGTTTATTTGTTCCCCAGTTTATGAGCTTCTACTTTGTTTCTAATTAATTGCTACTCCAAAAAGTGCTACTATAAATAATAAATTTTGGTATCCTGGTTTTTTTTTTTTTTTTTGGTGTCATTGATCTACGTGGAGTTTATGCCTAATAGTGGAATCTCTGGGTCAAAGGACATAGACCTTTTCGTCACTTTCTTTGTGCAATTGTAAATTGCTTTCCATAATGGTTACTCCAATTCATAGCTTTTCTATCAGTGCATTAGTGTGCCATGTTAGTTCAAATGTGAAGGATGGTGACTTAAACTCATTTAAATTCCTATTAGTTATTTACAGAATTCCTCAAATTCAGAAACGACCAATGTAGCTATTTAATAATTCAGAATTTATATTTACAAATACTCATCTATCTGTCTATCTATCTATCTATCTATCTATCTATCTATCTATCTATCTATCT